CGAGGATTAAGATGCAAACCATGGACAGTATGTTCGCTCCTCAATATTGAAGAGACATCAATCGCATCAATGTGGGCCGCGCCGACCTCCACAAGCGAACGCTCAAGCCGAAGATTAATCTCCCTTACACACCTGTTAATCCATGGCTTGTCATGTCGCCAGAGAAGACCAACAAACCTCACATTGGTGTGACTAGTTTTCTGGGCAATGTCACTTAAATCTTTCTCAATTTGATAATTGAGGTTTCTCTCCAAACTGTTACCTGGCCCCCCAACTATAACTACCTGATCTTCTTTACTAACTGTGTCACATTTTCAAATGATCTGTTAGCTATGTTTATGTAACGAGTTTGCCCTGCATTCTGGTGACAAGACAGTTTTCTCTGCATTTACTTCTAGACCAACTACTTTTTTTTTTTAAACTCGCTTAGTGGGGGTAGAGTCCAACTGGGTCCACTCAGCACGGCGGCCACTTATTGGCCTATTGTAGCCTGTCCTGGGTGATTATAATGATGGAGAATTTGGTGGAATGAAGATTGGCGGGGGAAACCAAAGTACTTGTGGAAAACTCCCCCCAGTGCCACTTTGTCCACCACAAATCCCACTTGACCAGACCCAGGGTCGAACCTGGGCCACTGCGTTGTGAAGCCAGCGATTAACCGCTTGAGCTGTGGCGCAGCTCGACCAACCGCCTTACTAGGGTTAATTAGAGTTTCTGTGTTTTTTTATGGTATCTACAGGGTGATTCACGAAGTTTTACCCCCAATTAGGGAGGGCATTCCTGAGGTAATTTGGAACAAAAAATTTTAATATACTAATGGTATCAAACTCATAATTAATAAGATACAGTAATTTGAAAACTGGCGAAAAATCATTTTCTCTTCAAATTTCAGTCAAAACAAATTAGAAATACAATACAGACACTTTTTAAATCGTTAATGTTTTAGGAAAGAAGCATTCAAAAACCATTTTTTTTTAATTTCTTAATTTTACATTTTGCAACATTTCCCATCGATTTTATGTTACAAAATTACATTATTTTCAGCATCCCATTCTGTAAACAAACCAATGGTTGCATATCGCACCCTTCTATCAACCTGTTTCCTTTAAACTGTAGTGCTTTACAAGATGACTGGATTTACATAAGATTTTCAAAAATGTCTCCCTGCACGTCAACACAAAGTGTCGCACTAGTATGAACCACACTCATAGCATTTCGCAGTTCCACACGTTTGTTCCTTATTGTCATTGCCGCATCCAGAATATGTTCAAGCAACGCTTCAGGTGTTTTTATCTCTACCTGGTACACAATGTCCTTCATCCAGCCCCAAATGCAATAATCTAATGGCATTAGATCTGGCGACCTGGGAGGCCAGGCGTTACGGCCTCTGCGACCAATCCACCGCTGTGGAAAATGCCAATCCAAGTGAGCTGTTACAGTGCAGGAGAAGTGAGGAGGCGCCCCATCATGCTGAAAGTACATCCGGTGTCTTGTTGCCAGAGGAACATCTTCAAGTAACTGTGGTAATTCTTCTTCTAAGAAGTGGAGGTAAATCTCACCAGTTAAGCTGCCAGGAAAATTGAGTGGCCCGATTAGCTGATCATACAGAACACCACACCAGACATTGACACTGAATCGGTGTTGAAAATTTCATTCTATCGTAGCATGGGGATTACTGTCTGCCCAAACATGTAAGTTGTGACTGGTGTTGACCCCATCCCATGTAAACTGTGCCTCATTGCAAAACATTATCAAGCAGTACAACTGCCGATTTCCATTTAACCAGTCGCAGAACTGCAGACAAAGAGCATGGTCTCCTGGTTGTAGGTGTTGTACGTACTTGCTGTAAATGATAAGGATGCAGCCCATTCTCATGAAGAGTCCTACACGCCATGGACTGAGAAACACTGAACCGCCGAGCTAGACGTCTTGTACTGGCACGCGGACTGCACTCTACAGCATCGAGAATGTTTTCTTCTTCGCACAGTTCATGTTGAGGATTTCGTTTGTATTGTATACGAACACTGGGGAGAGAACCAGTGTGTCTTAATGTGTTGAATGTACTGCTAATGGATTTAGGATTTGGAATCGTGTTATTAGGATAATGCCAGTGATATTCGGTAGCAGCGGCTCTTGCATTTCCATCACATACACCCGAAACAAACACCATATCGGCGTATTCCTCAGTGGAAAATTTGTACGGCATCTTAACTTCACAAAGTCACCAACACAATGTCCTGTTTACTACTGGATCGCTCTGCCTACCTACGCGCAACATTCCAGCCAGTCTGCCTTATCTGCTGACACAGCTAACTGGAACACATGGTCGCCCAGTAGGGAAGCATAGTGCTGCATTCACAATAATGCATTTTGAAAATCTATTGTTACTCCGTAACTACTGAAAATCGACCACAAGTTTATAAGGAAATTTTGCAGGAAATAACCCCAGGAATATGTACCATAAGCCGGGGTAAAACTTCGTGAATCATCCTGTATTTGGCAAGGAATTTTTGTACTTTCCTCTTATTTTCAGCTGTAGATTGTTCGGCAAGAGCTCATAAACCCTGGACTCTAGCAAAGTGTTTAACATATAGTTGGATTCCTCCAACACCACAGTGTAATTGCCTTTGTCTGCGTGAAGAATCCCAGTATCTTTGTTGAGCCTCAGATTTCAACTCCTTTCTAGTCATTTTAGTGATGGATGATTTTGAGTTCTCTAACATGGACCTTATCTTCCATATAAATTCCATGCCCAGGGTCTGTGGAAATTTTGAAATAATCTGCTGTTAAATTGGTTGAATATAAAATTCAGTTAATTTTGTCTGTAGTTGATCAAGATTTTCTCTTTATACAGTAACTATTAACCTCAAGTTTTGTGTCTACAAAAGGTCTGACACATTTTGATCTTTAATAAGTCGGAAAATAACGAAGATAGAAATAAACTGGTTACATTGTTGGATTGAGAAACTCTAAAAGTTTTGTGTCTATTGTTAATAAAGTTGTACATGTGCTCCATTTGTTGCATGTAAAATATCAAGACAGTATTCAATTTCGTGCCAGATGCGGGCAAGCATACAGACATCCACAGTGGTTATTGCGTCTCTTACTCTGATTGCTGCAACGTCTAGGTAAATGACTGATGTGACTGTCTTTTCTGCGAAAAAGAAAGGTCCAGTGACTCGATCGTGCATAAGAGCACACCACACATTCATTTTTGGGGAGTCTCTTGCCATTTCACGGTATTCATGAGGGTTCTCTGATCCCCAGATGCGATGTTATGGCGATTGACTGTTCTACAAATATGGAAGCAAGCTTCATTGGAGAACAGCATGGTTGTAAGAAATCTTTCATCCTCCTCTATTCTTCGTAACATATCTGTTGCAAAATCTGTTCTCTTAGGCTTATCATGTGGTTCAATAGCTTGCACAAGTTGCATCTTATGAGCATACAGCCATAATTTCTTCCATAGAACATAGTGTACTGTTGAAACTGGCATATTCAATTCTCTTCTTGCTGTTCCCAAAGCTTTCTCAATGCTTCTCGGACACACTCAGTATCAACATTGCTTGTGCTGTGACATCCGGAACTCTTCTTACTGAGGACACTTCCTGTTTCTAAAAATTTCTTTTTCCAGTCTATGATACGGTTTCTAGAAGGAGGATCTTTCTGGTAATGTGTTCTGAAGTTCCTCTGCCTTTGTGTCACCGATTTCGTTTCACAAAACCACACCACTGTTTGCACTCTCTCTTGCGGAGTCGCCATCATTTTCTCAACAATGAACACTGCACTGAGAGCTATGAACACGTTCGTGATCTGTAAAGAGGAAAATAAACTTTTCGAGTTGATCTTTCCATCATTGTTAAAGGTTTATTTCTGTCTTCATTATTTCCCGAATTATTAAAGATCAAAATGTGTCAGACCTTTTGCAGACACCCTGTATATGCACAGTTGAGCATTTGAAAGCCTAAGGGGTCAAAACATGAGAGTAGTGTGTTGTCAAGATTCAAACTTAGCAGCTACACCATTTTGCCAAACATTTGGAATCCACATATGAGAAGAAGAAAAAACATTACAGTTGAATTTCTGAAAAAGTATTTTCATCAACATCAATCAATATTTCTATGCTCTACATAATTAAATTGACAGTATGTAAAGAAATGCTCATAATAAGCTATATTTGCTACAGCAGACTCCCATAGTACATATTATGAGCATTTTTATTGTATGCTGTTCTCAGTTCCTCTTCACCATCAAATTTTGTAGGTCAGACGTTTTCCTCAGCAGTTTGTTATCAAACACACTAAGTATGTGTTCTACCATGAGTGTAATCTTTCTAAATTATTGTCATTGTGATGCTGCCACAGGCTCCAGTATACTCCCTGTGCTTCTCAGTGGAGGGGAGGTTTCTGGCATCAGCAGGTGCAGACTCAAGAGTCCTACTGTGGGACCTGGCTCATGGCCACCTTCTGGCAGAACTGACAGGCCACAAGGGTCCCATTCACACCCTTGCCTTTAGTCGAGATGGACACATCCTCACATCAGGTATCTCCAAACTGTTGGCATTGAAATAGTGTACAGGCAAGACCCAAGCCATGTGCTATTCTTGGACGCTAACACAAGATCATTTCATTTCTGTCTGAATGCTTTATATTTAGGAATTTAATGTTCAGTCAACATTTTTTTAATGTAACAACTGAAGTTTTTTTTCCTAACAGTCATTGAATTGTTACTGAACAGTTATTGAATATATTGTAACGTGTTCCGTTACTGAAGATGCCGTAGAGATGGTTAATTGGTTTATTTAACAATCTACAAGTATCGGCTACAATTAATGATAACAATGTTACGGGTTTCCACACGTTACAAACCCTACAACCAAATCTCTTCACACTATCTTCAAGAGTCTTCACGTATTAATAAGGCGGGAGCTATACAAGTCTCTCTGAATTACACATTCCAAATATAACTGTACTACAGCACTCACTAAGTCTCGTAAGCACGCAATAAGTCTTCCGCTCGCTGACTTCTTAGTTATCGCACACGTGTCTGTAACTCGTAACTTGCCAACTGAGAACTGTTGTCAGCGGCTGTGTAGCTCCCTTATAAACCCTCAGCAGGCCAACGAGAAAACAACCACGTGGTAGGCATCACTGTTGCTAGGGTCGTCTATCGCAACCACCGTTTATCCGCGTTGCATAGCGACCAGTGCGCTGGGATTCGGCTCGCTTTGGCTCCGCTCGGCTCACTTCAGCTCTGCTCGGCACGTCACCGCCGCCCGGGGGGGGGGGGGGGGGGAGTGGTGTCCTGCGTAGCGGTACAAGTAGTAACGAGAGCGCTACGTTACCGCCACGTGCCGCTGGGGAGGTAGGGGTCCTCCGTTGCGCAACATGTCACAATATGTATTTACATATATGTGAGTTGTGATTGAAGTCATGTTTCATATTGAAGATGCATACTTGTCAATGTAGGTTTATAGTCTGGGCAATTTGAATCATAGCAGACTGGATTTTCATTCTCTGTAGCACAGATCCTGTATGTACGCATCACATCTACCTCCTCCCCATGATTTGTATCTTAACAGCAGTACTCTACTGTTTGTTCCAGCTGTCAGATTTCAAGGTGTACCTTTTGACAGCAAACTCTTCTGGGAACCTCACTTGAGATGACTCCACATTAAATGCAGACAGTCACTGAATATTGTAAAAGTTTTATCTGGCAGGTCTTGGTGTGGAGACCAGATGGTAATGCTCCAGCTTTACTGTTCCTTGATCTGTTCAAAAATAGACTTTGGCAGTTTCATGCACAACTTCACAGCAGTCACAGCAGTCTGTAATTGATCTGTCAACACCACTGGTATTCATTTTGTCATTGGCACCTTCACAGCAACTGGTTTGAGAATCTGTGTGACAAAGCTAGCTACTCAAACTAGTGTTGTTGGTGTTACATGTAATGTGGCATGTGGATGTGTGCTTCCATGACATCCTATAGTGTCTGGGTATGAACCTGGCTACTCACCATCTAGTACTGAGGTCAAGAATGATGAAGCTACACAGCCACTCCCCCATACATCCTCATGGCATGGTGTTTAATTAAGCATGGGGAAAACTTTACATTTTACCTTTATTGGTCAGATTACAGTATGATCAGTGCTTAAGTTTATTGAATCTTATACCAGGTTTAGTAAAGGATGTCTTAAACCAACTTCTATTCAGGTGCACATGACCATAGAGCTGACAAGCATATAATGCCACTTATTCACTTAGTATGCATAATGTGTATTTAAACAGTGGATGCACTTCACAAAAATTGGGATCAGATCATATTCATCATCTCTTCTGCCGGCAAATTACCTTGACTTCATCTTCAGCTGGTGTATCTGTTGTGACCTAACATTTGGAGTAAGAATAAAAAGTTTAGTTCTTAGGTCTACACCAAACGTTCTCTCTTTGATAAATTAAAGATACTAATTGAGTAACGTCATGAAACAGAATTCCTCTTGAGAAGCTCATGGACCTCTCACTGCTCAAGATATTCCCTGCTTTTTATGGAACCTGTAGATTAGTGCCATGTTCACAACAGCTTGCCGTTGGACTATGTCCTAAGCTAGTTACATCCATTTTAATATTATCCTCCCATCCACACCAGGGTCAAGTATTCCTGCTGATTTAGTACCACCCTTGTTCCATATTACCTGTAAGATCACTAAATTTATTGTTCTTGCTGCTGATTCCAGTATATGTGCCCAAGCACAAGTGATATTTCATAACATGCTCATGTTTTTACATTGAGGGCTTGTTTAGCCCCCACCCAACCTACAAGCTGGTGGATCACCACTTGCCTGCTATCCATAGTTGATTCAGCAGTCACAGTTAGACTGATTTGCATAGTGGGGGGTGGAGTCCAGTTGGGTCCACTCGGCATGGCGGCCACTGATTGGCCTATTGTACCTGCCCCAGGTGATTATGGTGATAGAGAATTTGGTGGAGTGAAGATTGGCAGGGGAAACTGAAGTACTTGGAGAAAACCTACCCCAGCACCACTTTTTTTTTTATTGCTAGTGGGGTGGGACTAAGTCCCTTGTACTGCGGCCACTTCTGGCCTATTGTACCAGCCGTAGATGATAGGTGAGGGTGATTGTGTAGCAGTTGGTGGAATGAAGATTGGCAGGGGAAACCGCAGTACTCGGAGAAAACCTGCCCCAGCGCCACTTTGTCCACCACAAATCCCACTTGACCAGACCCGGGTTTGAACCTGAGCCGCCACGGTGGGAAGCCAGTGATTAACCACTTGAGTTATGGCGCGGCCTTATATCCACAATTACTTTACATGCTTGGAGGCTGTCCCTCCATATACATCTGAAGCATGTGTGATGCCATGGTGACCAGGAACCCACTTAACCCTTCATTATGTAAAGTTATTTTTCTGAATGGGAACAACCTACATTGTCTTCTTGCCTTCAGCATGTATTCAGTAGCTCGTCCATGATATGTATGTACTGACCATCTTCTGGTGCACACAGTCTCACATGTCACTTCACTACATGTTTCGGCATCACTGTGCCATCCTCAGGTGTGTTATTTACATTAAACTATTGCACTGCTCACCATCATGTGTCATTTATAAAATGATGCGTGCGTTGTAATGCACATAACACAACCCCACCACCTACCCCCACAACATCATAACTCAATCAATACGAAGACACACGCGTCCAGCATTACAACACACGCAGCCAAAAAAGGACACATCACAAGACACAGTGAGTACTAAACATTATAAAACAACATGTAACAGATAGAAGTCAAAAGTAATATTNCAGAAGACGGTCAATAGATACATATCATGGACGAGAAGCAGTGCAACAGGACGCTAAAATACAACATTAATCAGTAGCTGCTTCAAATTATATACAGTGAAACTAGATTTAAGGTTTGTTTGGAGAGCAGTGGATTAGAATGTTAAACTGAGGGAAATATTAATGCAGGGAAATATAACACTGAGATTATTAACTTGTGGTCTTTGAAATTAAACAGTAGAAGAAGGAAACCCTCAAAGTGGAAAACATTAAATGACAGTTCTAGTGTAATTTAATAATCATCTTTTCATTTAGACTAACTTCTAATCTGTCCAAGATTCAAACTAGGTACCATTTAAATATAAATATAAGACATTCCCATTATGTCAGCCTGCTCAGTAATACAAGAGTGATATAATTTATAATATGGTATTCCTGTCACAATTTGCTTATTTTTCAGGCTCACAGGACTGTTCAGTTAAGCTCTGGGACTTCTCACGGCTTGCAGAGGAGATGGTGCTCGAGGATGTTGATGTCTCACACAATCCAGACATCAAAAATAGTGGCAGTTATTCACTGCGATCATATGGCACAAAGAACTCTGCTGGTCTCCATTTGCATCTTACGAGGCGCAATGTACTGCTGACTGTTGGAATATATGAAGGTTCTTAATGCTAATATACAGAATGATTAACTCCATGGCACATGCTCTTCCTTGAAACTTTGGTACGTAGCTGGTTCAGAAGTCCAATATCTTTTATGGAAGCAGAAAATTCATCACCATATTCACAAAAGTCAACAATTGTGTTCTGTTCTAAGTCAGTTCAGTCTAGTCCATACCTCCTCTGTTTCTCTAGTATTAATTTAAATATTATCCTCCCATCCATATCTAGGTGGATCAAGTAGTCTCTTCCCCAGAGATCTCTTGACCAAAATTTTGAAACCCTCACCATGGTGTCCAGTTACTCCTCCTCCGCCTGCCTGCCCTTTGCAATTTAAAAAAAAAAAGGACTTGGGGTGGAAAGGCATATGTTTTGAATGCTTGGAATGTCAGTGATGAATGCAGGAGGCAAGGGAATGCAAAGAGCTAATTAACGTTTATTATATAGGAATAGGGAATTTAAACCTCAGAGGCTTGGGGCCAGATCTTAACTCGTAGGTTTTAACTATTAGTAGTATTGTCATGCAGTATGTGTGACTCTCAGCTGGGTTTTGGGTTGATGACTTGATTTATTGATCACTTACAGGTTTGAACTATAAATAACTATAATACTATCACTATTTCCACAGTTTATAATTCACTAGAGCACACAGTCTTGTGTTCTTAGCCTGTTATTAGATGTTTCCTGGTAACGGCTCCAACAATAGCTATTCCTATGCCGCTGGCTCAAGTCTTCTCTTCACAGACTCCCGTACAGAACTGACTATCAGCTGACTTTGTCCCTTGCTTATAACATCTTGGCATGGACCATGTAAAAAACACAGCTCTTACACTGTTGTAGTCAAACTGTTGCTTTATTAAGAATCTACTGCCTAGCAATGGGAAGGTTTTCATCGAGCCGTTTCCCAGAAACAGCTCTTGTATATCCTAACGTCTTATAGTCACCGCATAGCAACCACCGTACACGCTACAGTATTATGTTCTGAACTGATATGTTGCATTGCCAGAAAAGATTTTATCAATTTTTGTCACCATGATAGCTTCAAGATTGATATGATATTAGTATTGAAAACAAGTATTCTAGTAACAAGTTTTTGAAAATGTATAACATTACCAGAGTGTGTACTGTAATTTTTAACTGATATAAAAATCATTCTTTCCAAAGAAGTTTAAAGGCTCTATGTAAATTCAATTATACTTCACACACACTTCCGGAAACATTTTCTTTCCCACATTGTGATGGTCCTCCAATTTAGTTTACCTATTGTATGACAAATATGAAAACATGTTTTCATCCACAGTCAAATTGCATTTTCTTTTTGCAACCATATGATGACAGAATGATAAGGTATTCAGTATAGTTGGAACCAGTAAATTTAAAAAAAATATTTTTTTGTGCACTTGCATGTTCTAACTGAATACAGTAGTTGTTAGTCATTCTGTTCTGTTGATGCAGTCCATGTGCCAACTGTTTACAGTGAAACCTCAATTCATCGTTTTTGTCGGGGTGCTGAAAAAAAAACGATGGTTGTGGGAAAACGATAAATGCGGGGCCTATATAAAATGAATGAAAACGGTCACATTTGCCTATATGTATTAACTAAATAAAAAAACATACCAGTGATAATATTTCCACTGTCAAGTCCAATTTGCATTACTACTTTTTAAAAAAGTCATTAATTTTCATTTTAAATGATACAAAATCCGTCCCAAGTGCAAACAATATATATTATATGTCCTTGATCTTGTTCTCCTCTACACTGCATGTTTCAGCCTCTAACAGCCATCATCAGGTGTATACTCTTACATTACTGCCACACTGAACCCAGTCTAAAATTTAACATTTAAAAAACACATTGTTATTTCTTCCTTATTATCAACATCTACCTCGTTGATATCTGTCTGGTATGTAGATTATTTTGCACACGTCAATTTTGGTTTTTCTGTAATAGCACTAAAAAAATCTTTAGTTATAATTTTAAAATCCTTTAAAAATTTCTCTAAATTTTAAATTTAAAATTTAAAATTGTTAGGGTTACTCGCCCTATGTCTAAGTGTTGCAGCGGCTAGTTCTTGTTTCCACATTGTATAGGTGTTATTCTGTGTAGTCTTCCTGTGTGCGTGCCGCTGCTTGTCTTTACTACGTAGTAACACGTAGCATACCTAGCGAATACTGTCCACATTGCATTTTTCCCATCCTTTTTGAAGTATACCCCTGTATTATAGACAATCATATAACACAGTTCTTAAATTTTTACACCAAAGCATATATGTTTCTTAAGCTTAAATTGCTTGGGGGGGAGAAACGTTTCCTTTAAAGAGCTCAGTGACTGTCCACAGCTAAATATTTTGGTGGACTTATAGTCAGTGCTTGAGGTGGAATGAAAATAGAACCGGGATGGTTTTCCACTTTTAATTCATAGACATAAATTATGAAAATATACCGAGTGATGTATACAGTCTGTGTTCAATCTAAGACCTACGAACATATTACAGTAGTTTAAATGGCATGCGTTAAAATAAAGTCACACATGCATTATGAGTACTTATCTTTAGAATATTTTCCAGATGTTTTCACTGCTTTCTGAAGTCACTGATCTTCTATCTGCGGGGCTTGCACAAGACTGGTAATCTGCATGTTGACTTCCTTTCTTTAGCCATTGTTTTACATAATATTCTGCATCGAAAGCACTGAGAGGGGGTCCCACTAATGAAATAAACATTAAACTAGATGCTGTTTTTAAAAGCACCGAGCTTCGGATGGTTGAAATAATGTTGTTCATGTTGCTGAATGCACGCTCACACTCTGCAGTTGAAATAATAATAGTATTTTGCAGCTGCAATCAACGGCTTTAGTTCATCAGGATACATGTCATCACCATTCATTATATTCATGGAATCCATGAACTGATGTTTTCTTACACACCATAAATGACTCAGCGAGTTCCCTAATCTCTTTATCAGCAAAACATAGATCTTGACATTTTACCCACTTAGCCTTATCCATTATTTTCAAGCTGTCCAGTAACTGACTGTATTTGTCCCTGTTTGGCCATGTTGTGTTACTACTTCCAGTCGATTCGTGTGAAGCTCTAGTGGTGAACATTCGGGTGTTTATATTGTCACTTAATTTCTGAAAGAATTGTTGTTCACTAATCTTCTGCACTCCTTTCTGCACTCCTCTTCTGCTAACTCCTTTAAATTCTAATTTATCAGCAGCCGTTAGAACTTCAGAATAATATTCACCTGGATTATTTGCCATGGACCGGAAGACGTGATACTTAACAAGAACTAAATGATGTGCTTCAGGCAATGTGATTTTCTTTTCTTGTAATTTTAAAGACAGGTGTTCAAGTTCTGTTAAAGCATCGCACAGAAGTCCCATATTTAGAACAAAGTTTACGTCGCTTAGGTTTCTTTTCAATCCAGAATATTGAGCTCTCTCCCTTCCCGTGCATTTTGGGTCTACAGACGCATTGTGAAAATGCTTATAAAGAGCAGGGTAATTATTCCATATGGCTCTCACAGACCGC